ATTCTTGGTAAGACTTTTTGCAACTCATACAAAGATATTTGTGAATCATTCAAATTTTCATAGTTTTTCTACTCAGTTTATCCTCAATTTAACTTAATTTTCGAAACTGTATCCAAAAATATTAAAATTTAACTGAGTTCAGGAGTATCCGTCTACGTTATGAGTATTTTCCTGATAAAAACTCGTTGTGATTAATCTGACGATTCCCGCGACAAATTCTTTTCTATTATTTTTATTTTTCACCATCAAATATCCTATAACATAAATAGTGCCGGATACAAATGTGAAGCCTCGAAAGGAGGACAAACCAAGAAGATGAAGAGGTAACTGACCATTAATATTCATAATTGTAACTTTTAGATTGTAAGAGTACTTTGTACGAAAGGGCTTGACCCGTATATTGTTGTTAAATAAATAAATAAATAATTCTTAGCTCGCTAAAATTCAGGTTTCCATCCCTCCATCTTATAGCCAGGTGAAACGAAGGCGAGAAGAATTACAAAAAGAAAGAGAACTCGAAAAGGAAATTAGATCTTTCTGGAAAATCAACATTGAGGAAGTGACAAAGAAATTCCACCTACTTTTCGAAAATCACTCGATTTTTCCCAAAAACATCGGCTCTTAGAGGATGTTAAGTGTGAAGCCAAAAATTCTCCACTAGAATATGTCTTAATATTAGACAGCTCCCCATCCAGGGTAGTATCCAACATGAATCGGAAATTATAATTTAAAAATAAAGAATTAATTCTTTCACAACTAACAAAAAAATGATAAAACAATCGGTCCTTTTCAGGACCACGATTTAACTTTTAACGTCAGATTATTTTGTTCCCAAAATTGACCTGAAAATATATTCCCGCTTCTAGAGCGTCAATTTAGCCAAGTTCAAGTGATCTTTACATCTACAATCTAATTAAATACTCTTGGTAAGACTTGTAGCAACTCAAACGAAGATATTTATAAATCATTGGTAGTTTCTTGGATTTTTTACTCAGATTAAACTTAGTTGAACCCAATTTTCAAAATTAAATAGAAAAATATTAAATTTTAGCAGAATTCAAGTGAACTTTGCATGTGAAATTAAATTAAATGCTTTTATTAAGAATTTTGGCAACTCAAACAAATAAATTTATAATTAATTTATAGTTTTCTAAATTTTCTACTCTGTTTTTATTTATCTAGACTTAATTTTCGAAGCTCGATGGATAAATATTAAAATTTATCGGAGTTCAAGTAAACTTTAAATCTAAAATCAACTTAAATGCTTTTGGTAAAAATTTTGTTCTTAAATTTATTTTAAAATTAATCATACAGCTAGTTCTAAATTCGCTTCTGTAATTGATACTAAATTTGATTCTAAAATTGTTGCTAAAATCAGTCTTACATTTTCTACTAAAATTGTTGCTATAAGCCAGATTAAATTTAGTTCTATAAATGGTACTAAAAGTAGTCTGAAACTTAATTCTAAAACTCATGCTACATTTGAATTCAAAACTGATGTTAAAACAGTTTCCACAGGACTTCGCATAAGCTATATGGGAAAAAATCTTTCGCCTAAATTTTATTAAACTTTGTAGTTTTGTAGTTCATCGCCTCCTGAACAAAAAAATTAATGGCAAAACCTCCAAAATCGAAGCATTTTTAAGCTGTACAACGTTGACAGCATAATGGAGCGGTCACACCTCACCTGCAGGAGCAGTTGCCAATGGCAACCGTGTAAGAGTAAGTGAGAGCAACATCGGCGGTATGACCACGGTGGACCCACGCAACAGCCGCGGTATTCCCACGGTAGATCCACGCAACCGCCGCGGTATTTCCACGCAACAGCCGTCGTATGCCCACGATAGACCAACGCAACAGCCACGCTAAACAAAACGGTAGACCCACACAACCGCCGCGGTATGCCCACGGTAGACCCACGCAACGGCCGCGGTATGCCCATGGAGACCCACGCAACATCGGCGGTATGCCCACGGTGGACCCACGCAACAGCCCCGGGATTCCCACGGTAGATCCACACAACCGCCGCGGTATGCCAACGGTAGACCCACGCAACCGCCGCGGTATGTCCACGATTGACACCTGCAACCGCCGCGGTATGCCCACGGTGTACCCACGCAACAGCCCCGGGATTCCCACGGTAGATCCACACAACCGCAGCGGTATGCCCACGGTAGATCCACGCAACTGCCGCGGTATGCCCACGGAGACCCACGCAACATCGGCGGTATGCCCACGGTGGACCCACGCAACCGCCGCGGTATGCCGACGGTAGATCCACGCAACGGCCGCGGTGTGCCCATGGAGACCCACGCAACAGCCCCGGGATTCCCACGGTAGATCCACACAACCGCCGCGGTATGCCCACGGTAGACCCACGCAACCGCCGCGGTATGCCCATGGTAAAACCACGCAACAGCCGCGGTATTCCCACGAAACAGCCACGCTAAACCCACGGTAGACCCACGCAACCGCCGCGGTATGTCCACGGTAGACACCCGCAACCGCCGCGGTATGCCCACGGTAGACCCACGCAACGGCCGCGGTATGCCCATGGAGACACACGCAACATCGGCGGTATGCCCACGGTGGACCCACGCAACAGCCCCGGGATTCCCACGGTAGATCCACACAACCGCCGCGGTATGCACACGGTAGACCCACGCAACCGCCGCGGTATGCTCATGGTAGACCCACGCAACAGCCGCGGTATTCCCACGAAACAGCCACGCTAAACACACGGTAGACCCACGCAACAGCCGCGGAATGCCCACGGTAGACCCACGCAACGGCCGCGGTATGCCCATGGAGACCCACGCAACATCGGCGGTATGTCCACGGTGGACCCACGCAACCGCCCCGGGATTCCCACGGTAGATCCACACAACCGCCGCGGTATGCCCACGGTAGATCCACGCAACAGCCGCGGTATGCCCACGCAATAGCCACGCTAGCGCCATGTTAGACTACGGTATTATAATAAATAAGTTTTTTTATGAATTTATAATACTTATTTTTATTGAAATATAAATGAAGAATAATAATAATTAAATAAAAAATATCCTTGTCTTGAACCGATTAATATTGAAAAAAATTGTACTGTACATTCGAAATCACAAGTATTGCTCAAAATTACCGCCCTCATGTTCGACGCAGCACTGTGCGCGACGTAAAAGACTCCGCACTGCATTGCGTACTTGGCCGCGGGTAATTTGATTGACTCCTTCAATTATTCTTTCGCGCAAATGGTCAACATCATTTATTTCCACGGAGTAAACATAATCCTTTACGCATCCCCAGACAAAGTAATCCATTGGATTGAAATCGGGAGAACGCGTAGGTCATGGGATTTCTGCTCCTAAAGCTATTAAGCGATCACCAAATATGTATCGCAGGTAATTAATATTGTTTGCTGTACTGTGCGGTGGTGCACCATCTTGAGCCACCCACATAATTCTCAAATTATTAGGAGTAACTCCCGCCTCTCTTAATAAGCGTGGCAACTCGTTTCGCAGAAAAAGGCCATAACTTTCAGCATTTAGATTGCCATCAAGAAAGAAAGGCCCCACCTGAAAAAATACAATAATCTATGGAAGTCGAGTACACAGCAACTACACTACAGCCACGTTCCATTTACGATACATCCACACAACAGCCACGGTCCATTCACGATGGTTGTTACATAGAGTATGTATTCCACACCAAAGTGTAAGTCCATCTGCAATTGCATATCCGATTTAAAAATTTTTTTTTTCTTTTATTAATAATTGAGACTAAATTCCATGAATTTTTTATGCAACTTTTAAGCCTGGGCCGATAATGGGCAAACGATTTTTACAACATTTTCGGAATTTTTCAAAAAATTTTAATTTTTTAAAAATATTTTTAGTTTTTTTTTATACTACACTGAAAAAAAAATTTATTTGATTCAAATACTTCAAATTATTTGAAAAATATTTAATTGGTTTAAATACTTTTTATTTGGATCAAAAAATATGTATTTGATTCAAATAACTTGAATTATTTGAATTGCATTTATTTGAACCAAATACATCGTATTTGGTTCCATTAAATAATTAATTGAATTGAATAAATGAATTTATTTAATACAAATAATGAGTTACTTGAAACTATTCGTTCATTTATTTCACTCAAATATTTCGTTTATTTGATACAAATAAAAAGTATTTGACACAATAAATTTATGTAATTGATTCAAATAAACTGAATTATTTAATACAAATAATTCGTTATTTAATCCTTATACAGTATTTTATCAAGACAAATAAAAAAATATTTCAATCAATTGAATATTTATTTGAAACGAGAATAATGATTTACTTGAACACAGAAAAAACCTAGATTCATTTTTGTTGCAACTCATTTTGAAATCCACATCAAATTGAGTAAATTGCAAACTTCAAGTTAGTCAAAATGAGATTCAATGTAAAGAAGTGTCAGCTTATGTTAGGTTTAATTTTTTCAGATTTCCAGGTTGGCAGCATTTGTAGTTTTTACATGTTGCGCCTTCTCACGGAAGAGACATAATTTAAATGTGTAAACATAACCTCTTTTAATGTCACAAACAAGTTTAATCATTTATTTATTAATTAAAAATAGGTTTCTAATAAATGAAGGGAATTAATAAATTTGTGTATTAATGAAAAATATATTTTTATTTAAAAATTGACTGAGTTACTTTCTTAAAATTATTTTTTTCATAATTTTATCACCTTGTTAAAACTAAAAAGAAAAAAAATGGAGACTACAAACATTTTGTACTTAAAGATGATTTTCAGTCTTAAAAAAATATGCAATAGTAATAGCACAACTTTGACTGGTGGTATACACATACGTGTATACCAATTGTGAAAACAAAAAAATACTTTAAAAATATTTTAAACATTTTTTAAAACCATATATGAAAATTTTGATAGGTTTTTCTTAAACATTAAATTATGCGAACGTATAAAAATTATGCAAAATGTAAAAAACAAGTTATAAAAAAGTCGAAAAGCAAGAATTTAATTATTTGCTTCCAGTGGAAATATTTGGCTTTTTTTGCTTTAAGTAAAATCTTATTAAATTTTTGCTTGTTGTAGTAGTGTCTTTACTGATCTAAAATTTGTTAGATCTTTTGGTAAAATTCTCTCTGTTTTATCGCGGAAAAACATAGCGGATAACAAAAAAAATTGTCTCCTTAAAGCTTTTGGAAAGTTAATTTGAAAAATCCAATACGAAGCTAACAACAATGGCACTGCTTCTGACGCGGTAGTGGTAAACAGCGGATTCCCATCAACGTAACAAATTAGATTAATGTCAGAGCATTCTATGTTACCTATTCCAATGAGGTGTGGATGACCATCTTCTGGAATTATTTCCGGGATCAAAGTACCTTGCTAAAAAAATTGAAGATAATTAAAAATTAAAGTTACATATTAACAACGAAGTTCTTGACAACATTTTCATTAATAATTAAATGTCTTTAAGATTCAATCATTTTTTAAATTATTATCTTTAATTATTTAGTAAATTATTTTTAATAATTTTGTCTAGAATTTTTTGCCAAATGATTTACTTTTAATAATTTTATTATATTCTATTAAAATTTCAATAAAATAATATATTCTTGACTTAAAAATGTTATAGAATTCAATTACTGAAATTTAAAAAAACCATATTCAAAAGAAATTTGTTTTTACAAAAACAATTTTTTTAGATAATCAGGGTGTCCAGCAATTTGATAGTTTCAAATTCCTGAGTTTTATATTGATTTTTCCGGATAATTTGAAACTGAATTAATAGAGTTTAATAAAGTGTAATTTTTTCAATTATATGAGAATAAAAAGAAATCTGATTTCGAAAGACTTTTTATTTAACAATTGATTTCAAATAACTTTTTCTTATTCTTCCGAAAGATGCAAAAATATTTTTTAAAAATTCAAAATTTTTACTTTTCTATGAAACAAAAATATTATTCACTTTTTTCTTAAATTACGTATTATTTTGAAAAAATTATGTTTTAATGAATCTCTATAAAAAAAAAAAAAATTAACACTCATTCCCATGCGGAATCCATGTAGATTTGAGTAAATCCTCGAGGATATGATTCTTTTTTTTATTTTCCTCGACGAATCCTTGAGAATGTTTTCTTTTAATTAAATTTTATCAAAGAATTTTCGAGAATTTTTTTTCATTTTATAAAATTTCTTCCAGAAATTTTTAAGGATTTTTTGGATTTTATAAATTTTTTTCGAGGAATCCTCGAAGACTTTTTTTTATTTAAAACATTTTTCAATTTGCTAAAAAAAAATTCCAAAAAATACTGATTTTGGAAACAAGTCAAAAAAATTTCTAATTTCAAACAAAGAGTCGAAAATGGTTTAAAAAAATTTAATTATATTATAAAATATCAAAAATACTTTATGAATAGAAAATTCCAGGATTTGAAAAAAAATTCTCGGGTTTTTCCAGATTTCCCGGGTCACTAGACACCTTGTTAATATAATACAAATTTTTTGTTTTGAGCTACAGTTAAAAATTTATTGGCATAATCATTTCAAAGTACTTTTTTCGATGAACTTTCGTTACATCCCGTTTCAATTTCTACAACCTTTAAATTTATTGTGCACAAGTTTCCATTTAAATGATTAAAAAACTAATTAGAAATGAATAGTTTTACTTACTTCATACACTTTTAAAATGGTTTTGTCTCCTGACAACTTGTCCGCTAACAAACGAGGAAGGATACTCAAAAGTTGCAAAGCTAGCGCATTGTTACTGAATTTTAAAACATCTTCATCCGTTAAAAACAAGGAACAGATTCGTGACAAAGCATTGATCCAATTGCTTTTTAATATTGATACTTCAATACTCACAAGTTGTGCGAACTCCCAAAGAATCTGAAATAAAAAGGAAATAATATTATCATGAAAATTGAAATAAATATATTAATTTTAAAAGACAATTTCTGAATTCTTACTAAAATTTCCTTTCTTAATGCAGGATATTTTTCTAGGATTTTTGTTGCTGTTTCTTTGCGAGCTTCGGCTGTTCGTACAGATCGTGTGGAATTGAGAAAGGTTTTTAATAAGGTTATATTGTGTCTTCTATCAGCTCTCTGCATCTCAGCCTTCATTCCCGTGATCGCATCAGAAATACTTTGTTGAACTACAACACTGTCTTCTGACTTATTGACTGTTCTATTTGCATTCGCAAAACATCTTTTGATTCTGTCGGTTAAATTCGCCTAAAAATAAATTATTTTTTATTAAATTCATTATTTTAGTATATGTATCAATATGACATTACTGAAAACTACAACAAAAAGTACTTGTATAACTGTTTAAAATTTTTTAAAATCATTTACATTTGTTGTGCGACTGCAATATTTACCTTCTCTATTTTTATATTTAAAAAGGTTTAATCAATTTTCAAATTTTTTTACTTTTGTTAAGAGATATGACATTTCTAAAAACTTTAAATTGTAAATTTAACGACTTTATAGTAAATTTACAAAAAAAAATGTGTCTCTTTTTATGATGTATTATTTCTCAAACTTATTTGTGAACTGACTTGAAACTCTGATGAATTGTTCATTTTAATTGGTAGTTACATTTTTATTCATTTCGGAACGGTAAAAAATTCTAAAATTTTTAAAAGACACGAAACTTACTGAAAGGAACATTTTCTGAAAATATATAAAAATTTTAACTATTTCGATTTTTTCAAGTACAGAGCTTTTAGAGTTTACCAAACTGTTTCCCACTGAGCTGCTACTACATAGAATCGGGTATTCTTGTAGCAAAAGTGTTGCCATTTGATTTATGTCAGAAGGAGAAGTTCGATTCCTCGACTTCATGTTGTTGCAAGCAATCCGGATGATTGCATTTTCTTGTGATGGTAAAAGATAGTTATTATCTAATCCTTGTTGGATGTCAGAGCGGAATGAGATTGGCATTAGGGCTTTCATAGGGATCTGAAATATAATTATTTTCTAATAGGTTAATTTTTTTTCAAATAAAAATTAATTTTTTAAAAAAGTCTTTACTGAAATTTGAAAATAGCGTTAATTCTTACTTCCTGAGTTGCCTGAGTTTTCGATCTCTTTGCATTGTTATTTAAACTTTCGGGTTTTCTTATGGTTCCTGATTTCATCGATGAGCCTTGTGAAGTGGAAGGAGCATTTGTATCCATAAACTCAAATTCATGTAACACGTCAGCTGCAGATTCTTGAGAAATGACGAGATTTTGACAACTGATTCCTTCAGGAGACGTGACTTCCATTTCTAAAATGATAAAATATTTATATTACAATATTTATATTATATATACATATATTTATAAAAACACAAAAATATGTTTTTTTACCTTTCATTTCAACATGTCTCATGGGTGCATGTGCACAATATTCGCATTGTGACTTTTTATTATCTGGTTCGCGCTCATATTCCTGACATGAGCAATCCAAACATGCTCCTCTTTTAACGCCTCTAGTATCTTCATTGGTCATTATTCTAAAGATATATGAATTTAAATCGAATGCTATTTTAAAATTGATTTTTCCCCATATTAAATCATTGTACTTTTGGATCGACTTAATGAATTTCGTTAATTAAATTGAAAACGTGCTGTATCTCTTTCATTTTTTAATCGTTGTAAAAAATTTAGCAAGTTTAGCAATTTTCACTTCAAATTCAGATTTGGGAGGAAGAATTACATAAGAATGCACTAGTATAGTGTGTTGGAAAAAAATTTGTTTAAATATATTTTTCTGTGTTTCAGAGCGGTTTTTTGAGTTTATCTCAAACTGCTCACCTAATCTGACAATTGTGACTATAGATTCAGACTCAGAGGGAAACAATATATGAAAACAGACTAGTATTGTGACATAAATTCTAGTGTATTTTCAATTTAAGATTTTATTGAAAAGAAATCGGAATGTAAGGAAAAATAAACTTTATGTCAAAACAAAATTAAGTTTTAAGCTGAAAATCCACTACAATTTTTAACATTGTTTACCTTTTAAACTAAATTCGGGACCAAAACGAAACCTTTTAGAATGTGTAAATTTTTTTTTTGGAAATAATTTTTATGACAATGATAAATATTTTCATTTTTTTCCAACAAATGTATTGAGTTTTTAAATTTGCAAAAATTTAGAAATTTTGTTTTTTTAACTTAATTTTTCTCGTATTTTCAAAGTAAAGATTGATAAAGTCAAGAAATTTTGAAATTACTTTTCATTTAATTATGTGAATTCAATTTTTCTAAACAGAAAAAAAATGTTTTATCTAAAGGTAAGTTATAATGATTCGAAGTGTCAAAATAATACTTTCTAATTGTAAATTATCTTTTTTGTATTGAATAATATGAGGAAAAATATTGATAACTATAATACTTCATACAAAATTAATGTACGGTCTTCAATGTGCACGCCGGGATGAAGAAATGATATAACCAAATGAAATATACTTACCGAAGAAAATTATAAAAATTGTAAACAAAAATACTGTAGCTGAAACAATCTTTCCGTTTTCCTCTTTTTTTATAGCCTGAACTTTGTATGATTCACGGGTATTATAACACATAAAACTGATCAACAATGATTAACATTAGTTAAACATACACGTTTCAACGTTAAAATTTGGTTCAAACTTGAAAAACAAAATGTCTACAAGGTTCTTGTAATATTAGGTTCACTTATTTCACATGGTGTGTGAAACAACATATACGAAATAGGTGGGAAAGCGCCTTTATACATTGTAAATGGTCCTTTATGACTACGTATTAAGGTATGTCTACACAGCCATTGCTGAAAGTCAGGGATAGGTAATCAACAGTTTGTTTAGTGTGTCCTTTTTTATCTCATGTGTTGCTTCGGTAACTATTGCCCCATGAAAAGGCACCGTTACGACCAACTTGGCACCACCATTTCGTGTTGAAAAACTGTTATCAGGTGTAGACAATTATTTTATTGAGTTTGTCATTTCGAATTGCATCAAATTATAAATATATTAATAAAACAGCATCGCAAATAATAAACTGAAACAAATTATAATTATAATTATAATTACGAATGCAAGATTAACATAATTATTTTTTCACATTGTATACATACAAAACTGTTGTGATAATTTTTTCATTGAAAAAATAAACTAACAATGTACCAGCAATTGACATTGTAAATTAACGTGAAATTTGTAAGTTAACGGCAGTTTGTATTTTAAATGGTGAGTATTTCTTAAACCACGTAATTATAAATGTATTTTAAGTTTTACCAATAAATGGTTTGTATAAGGTTACATTTTTAGGTTATGTTGTTACTCTTTTCATATTGACAATTAAAACAATTTTTTCTTAAATAAAAATTATATTTTTATTAAATGAGATTGATGATTTCATTTGTGTTAAATTGTAATCAAGAATTAAATTTTGTAGATTGTGTAAATGAAATGAAATAAAAATAATCACTGTATTAGAGGTGTGAAAAAATCCCGAAAACTTGATTCGGGTCGGACGCGGCCTACTCAAAAGTGTCGGGCTACCCAAAAATGTCGATTTACCCAAAAAAAGGTCGAGTACCTGAGTGCATTCGGGTTTTTGAAAGCACTTGAATTCTAAAAAATTTACTTTTTCCAGAAGTCTTGACAACTGGATATATTGAATTGATATATCAAAAACCCGAATGCATTCAGGTATCCGAAAAATTCTAGAATCCAAATGTTTTCGAGTTCCCGTATATATTCGACTTTTTGACAAAGTTCGACTCGAAAATGGAAAATCTCGAAATTATCGAGTCGAGTTTCGGGTTTCAGGCTTTTTGTATATCTTTACATTGTATACATTTTACATTTGTCATTTATGATTGAAAGTTACTTTACGTTGAAATAATCCATTTTGTTTTCTAAATATGGAAATTCAAATTGATTAAAATTTTTTTAAAAATCAATATTAAAATTTAGATGTATAATAAAAGTACGTAAAAATTTAAATTGAGTTTAACCTTCATTACTGTAAACAATAATTTCATTGATTATCGAAATTAATTTTCTCATTATGGAGTTCAACATTTTTTTTTTCAGTTTATTTGACAGTATCTGTTTTTGATGTTTAAATAATAATTACATTTTTAGTAAACATCATGTGACATTATTTCCTAACGTTGATCTCCACTTTTCGAAACATTGAACTCACAGTTTGAGCAAATATTGCACTGTATCATTTGTAAAAATAATTTTTATTTAAAAACAACGTTAACTAAATATTGCACTTTAATATTCTCTGAATACAGCTGTACACTATTTGATTAAACAATTAACAAATTTCTTATTTGATACTTTAGTATAAAAATATACAAATTTAGAGTTGAAAATTTTTCTTCAAATTGTTGATAAAAAAATTATAAAAAATATTTTTCAGACAAAATTTTAAAAAAGCGTGATACATAAATATTTTTCTGTTTAATCGTTGATCACAAATGTAATGAATTTTAATTTCGTAAAAATATTTAATTTGTTTCGTGGTTGAATATTTACAAAATTACAATCCATTATCTTAATAAAATATTTAAAACATATATTGCGTTATGTTGAATATTTTGTTGATAATTTGTTACCTATTTTAACCCTACTTGATACTCTGGGGTGTTGAACACCCCAAAAAAAATTTCACTCTCATGTTTGACAATTTTTTTAATATTAAAAATTTTTACTTTCACTCTAAAACCTATTGGCTCATCTTTTGCAATACTTCGAGAATAACTATAGTATTTTCGGTAATTCTTTTAAACTGTATTATTTCAAGAGAACATTACTTTTTCAATGTTGACTATAACGATATTTTAATTAAGAGGTCATTTAAGGTTCAAAAATAGTGATAACAGTTGAATGTTTATAAAAACAATTGATTTTAACGAAACAAAATTTATTATTAGTTACGTATTAAAAAAAGAGACGACTACTTTTTAAAAAGTAGTCGTCTCTAAAAAAGTATTCTAAAAAATCAATGTCATTTTACAATAATATTTAATTTACAAATACACTTTACAAATAATTATTTTATAAACTTATAATTTCATAGATTTAGTAAATTCTTTGAATTTTAAATTAAAGAGAAATTTACCTCAAAAGTATACTTTACTACATAAAAAGAAAAAAATTTTGAAAAATGTGTTAAATTGAAACTATTGATCAGAGAAATTAATTCATATTTATCTTCATTATGAATTCATTTCGTACCTACTTAGATAAGGCTATGGCAAATGCATTTACAAATTTTTTCGTTTCAGAAGGAAAATGAACTTTATTTAACTTCGAATTGGATGAATTCAATGAAATGTTCACTTCATGATCGGAATAATTTCAAATTGAATATTTAACATCTTTTATATTGGTAAGTGTAGTGATATTCTTTTTTTAAATCTCGACTATAAAAAAGTGAGTAATCTGTAAAACGCGTTACCCACAACAGGGTGTCTACAACACCTGGAAAACCTGGAAATATCAGGGAATTTTTTCAGGAGTTAGTTGTAGACACCCTGCACAAACATAAATGGGTAATTCCACGTCAAATTTCAGATCAGATTTTTAATTCGATTTTAAATTCTACTTGTGAATAAAAAAAAGGAAAAAAAATTTTTTTTTAAATTTTTATTAAAAAAAATTTTTTGCTTTATTTCTTAACTAAGGATGATAAGAATACTTTGTACATAGTTAGAGAGTGGGCCTGATGAAAATTTATTGTTTAATTAAATTGTTTACAGAAAAAAATTATTTTTCGTCTTTATTTATTTTTTAAATAAAGATGTATTTTATTTTGCTCTTTTATAAAAAAAAATGTATAGTTCTAGTGGCTAAAGAGATTTTATATTTAAAAAAATTTTTAAAAAGTAAACAAACAATTTATGATTTTTTTTAATAAAAATTAAAAAAAATTTTTTGTTAATTTTATTTAAAAGTCGAAGAAAAACTAAAATTTTTTACTTATGAATATTATGTCTTGGCAATAAATTATATGAACGTTGTAGATTTGTCATCGATCACTAAAAATGTAATTTATATGCTCATCATTTTTTAAAAAATATAATTTGTATATTTGTGGTCCCAAGAAATAATGTAAGTATACTACCACTTGAAATTGATTATTTGTATTAATTTCAGAACCTACTGCAAATTGCTGAATTTATTACGGAAATGAGTAGCAGAAAAGTACAGTGCCGTTTTTGCACACAAGATTTGGAGAAGGAATATTTAGAACAACATTTAAAGCTAAATCATCTAACTCATCCCGATTTTCAAATTACTTGCGGGGTAAATAACTGTCAAAAAGTATACAAAAATTTAAGTTCCCTTCGATCACATAGAAGCAGACAACATTACAATCAACGTAGAGCTGAGACCAATGATGAAGAGGACGATATTGATAGCAACTCAGAATCTGTTACCAATGATGAAGAGGAAAATATTGATAACAACTCAGAATCTATTACCCACGAGGAAAACGCAGCAGATCATTTGGACATAGATGATTTAGATTATGATGATAATGGAGAAGATACTGATTACGATAGCGATGATTACGATGAAATTCTTGATTCTGATGACGACAGTGATGAAGAAGATGGCCAAGATCATGCTAATAATGAAGAAGAAACAGAAAATCTGCAAAAAATTACTCTTGGATTAATGTTTCTAAGTATGAGAGCACAAACTCAAGTAACAAACGATATTGTATTAAACGTTATAAAAAGCTTGGACGCAGTGGTGAAACGATACGTGTTAGATGCTTTATTAAAAACTGAAAGAATTTTATTGGAACATGATATTTTTAATTTAAGGGAACTTATTGATATTAATCGGGAGGTCGCAAAGATTGATACAGTCCACGGTTTGAATACGATTTACAAACAAGATGCTTACTTTGCAGAACAGTTTGATGTTGTTCAACCGACGATTCAGCACCTCTCCTCGGAGTTTCAAATCGCTGGACATGGCCCCAGTGGAAATCCAAATGTTAAGCTGAAAGACGATGAATTCATTTACATACCGATCCGAGATGTGCTTTCTAAACGTCTTTCTAACGACAAATTTCGTGAACTATTAGAGCAAAATTCTGAAGATAAGGAAGGAATATTCAGATCATTTAAGGATGGCTCACGGTACAAACAGCATCCAATGTTTTCTTCCAATCCAAAGGCTGTACAAATAAAACTATATTACGACGAAGTTGAGTTTTGTGATGGACTAGGCTCAAGAGCTGGCGGGAAACAGAAACTGGGATTCGTCTACTCTCAGTATGGAAATCTTCCACCTATGCATCAAGCAACTTGGTCTTACATTGATTTAGTTGCAGTTATAAAATATTCCCATGTGAAGGAATTTGGTCTTTCTCCTCTTTCTGAAATTATTGTTAAAGATATTAAAGAAATTGAAAACGGAATCCGATTACCTAACGGAGACATAATTTATGGAACTGTTTCCGCTCTGACAGGCGACAACTTGGGGATACATATGATGTGTGGATTTAAAGAATCTTTTACGGCTAAACATCCATGTCGATTTTGTATGGCTTCCTTACAGGAAATGCAGATAATGATAGAAGAGGATACTCAACGTTTACGAAATCCAGAAACACATCGTCAGCAATTGGCAAAAATGGAAGCTGCGGCAACAGAGGAAGAAAAACAAAAATTGTCTCAAGAGTATGGTATAAATAGATCTTGCCCTTTAAGTAAAATAATTGCATTCGATCCTACGACATCGACAACACCTGATATTCCTCACGATTTTATGGGAGGCATAATACTGTTACAAATTAAATTATTTCTCAATCGCTTTTGTATTAAGGGAAATTGGATAAACCTTGATGAATTTAATGGAAGAGTGGCATCTTTCGACTATGGATACAGTGAAAAAAGTTGTAAACCTTCTCCAATAAAACCGCAGCATTTGAAACCAAAAAATAAAATTAAACAAACAATGACACAAGCATGGATGTTAGCTATCATTTTGCCATTCATTGTCTACGATCGTATCAATGATGAAAATGCTGAATACCTCGAAAACCATTTACAATTATTGGAAATTATGTCAATCGTCTGCTCTCATACAATTTCACTAGGGTCACTGAGTTTATTAGAATCATTGATTCCTGCATACCTTGAAACCTTCGCAAGAATTTATAAAAATGATGATTCAACTTCAGGAAGAAAATTTATCCCGAAGCAACATTTTCTTTTGCATTACCCAAGACTCATTGCGATGTTCGGCCCTTTAGTTCACTTCTGGACGTTACGGTTTGAGGGAAAGCATCAATATTTTAAAAAAATCGTCCAAGCTATGCGGAATTGGAAAAATCTTCCTCTGACTTTGGCTAAAAAACACCAGTTATGGCAGGCGTTGCAATGGACTCTTTTTCAGGAAGATCAAATTTCTATAGGGCTAAAAAAAATGGTTACAACATCAAAATTTCCTTTTAGTCACCTTTTCCCAGAAGAAGATGATTTGTTGATCGTCAGTTGGGTGGAAATTCATCATGTTAAATATACAGCAAACAAATGTTTTATTCCAGTGGGCTACGAAAACGGATTGCCATTGTTTGCTGAATTATTTAAAATTGTTTTGAAGAATGAAAGTCCTATTTTTGTTTGCAAGAAAGTGCAAACAGTACAGCACGATTCACAGCTCATGGCATACGAAATAAAAAAATCAGATGAATTCATTCTTCACACACCAGATTCTCTAGTTGCTCACAATGTTCTACACTGTCACAAACTGCAAGAAAAAAATTATATAATATTGAAACAGTTGTGGTTCGACTTGTATTGAACTGTTCTTTCCTTCAAAATTCGAAAACATTGTTGAGACAGTTTATATTTCAATTTTGTTAAATTGTAACGTAAAAATGTAAATCGTTACTTATTTCTTAAAAATTACATACTATGTAAAAAATACATTTTTTGAATAAATTTAATATAAAAATACACATTCACTCAGATTTTAAAAATTGTATACTTTTCCTTGTAAAAATATTATTTTAAAAAATCTAGATAATAATCAACAAAGTGTTTGTATCAGATGTATATATTTTATTTTTTACAGTGAAGTTCAAAAATATTATTATTAAAACTATAAATTACATAATCATTTTTAACAATTTTACAAATATTTCTTATTTTAAAAAATTTGTTTTTTCTGAAAAAATTGAAATTTTTAAAAATCCATGCGCTTAATTTTTCAGAATCATGAAAAGAAGCTTATAAAAAATCTGCGGTGAAAAGTAATTAAAATTGTGAACAAAGTTTATAATGTAATTAGCTAAAAAAACGCGCGCGAGTCGTTTCCAATTTTTCTATTAAATAATTATACTAATTCAGGGTTTCTACAGAACCTAGAAAACCTGGAAATGTCATGGAATTTTAAAACCAGATTTTTGTAGAAACCCTGTAATTGCAAAAAAAGTATTTTAAAATTTTACATTCTTAAATGTATTGAATTAAATATTAATTAGTCATTACAAGTTATTATCAATTTCAATAATCTTAAAAAACAAAATAAAACTCAAAAATAAATTCACGTTTTCAATAAAAATTTGTTATGGAAAATGTTTTTGCTCATCTTTTTAATATGAATTTCAAAAAATCTAATTATATGTTAGACGAGCTGATTTAAAAATTATCATTGAACTTTGCAAATTTTTTTAATGAAATATTTTGATTTAAAAAAATATGCGATAAAAATTTTTTTTCCAATTATAGAAATTTTAAAAAATTTCCCAAAAGAATATTAAAAATTCTCTATAAATGTTAAAATCTTGAATAAAATATTAAGTAATTTTAAAAATGTTTATTATAATTTTAAGTTGAATAAAAATGAATGAAAGAATGAAAGAATACCAAGATTATTATAGTTAAGTTTTCGAGTATTTTGAATGTTATTTAAAAATTGTTAACAAATTTATAGTTTTTCAATTTTTATAGATCATAATTTTAAATACTCAAAATTCTCAGAAAAAAAATTAGGGACCCCAAATAGTATTAATTTTGATAAGTCAAAATTTTACCGATATTTTCCCTTAATTAATCATAATTATTAAAAAAAATAATTGAAGTTTCAAAAGATTTAAATAATTTAAAATTTATTATTTAATTAAAGCATATTTTATGTGATTCACTTAATATTAAATTAATTATTTGAGAAATACTTTTTTGGATTTAATTTACATTATTTTTTGGATAAATGGCTTAAAGTAAAAAACAATTAATATTTCATTAATAAGATTTATAAATTACAAATAAATTAACAAATATTAAACAATTAAATCGACCTGTATGTGAAATTTCCTTTATATTATTATTATTTATATTATTATCATTTTATTTATTTTTCATATTAAACTATTTATTATTTATTAAATATAGAACTTTTTTAGAAGTTTTCAAATTTAGCGCTATTATTCGAGTCTTTCGGCAGTGGTGCCGATAGTCCAAAAAACTTCCGCAACATGAAGTTAAAAGCGCTCTGGTTATTTGTCATAATCATAACCTAAAAATATATTTTATTTTACAACAAAAATAAAAGGAATTATGCTTGAAATTTCACAACATATTAAATCTAAAATGTTTTTTGTGTCAGGTAATTGTTTTATATCGTGTTCTTTCACTAAATTATTCTATTTTTGATAGTATTTTTAACTTATATGTTTTACTCAAAATAAATCTGTCCTTATTCATTTTGACACTTTTACCATTGAATCAAAATGAGATACCCTGTCTCATTTTTGTTGCGAATCAAATTGAGTATAGAATCTATACTCAATTTGAAGTCAGGTTTTTTCTGTGAAACAATTAATTAATTTATTTCACTCAAATATTTCATTTTTTTCATACAAATAAAAAGTATTTTATACAATAACTTTATTAATTCTAATTAATTAAATTATTTAATATAAATAATGTGTTATTTAATGTTAATACACTATTTTATTAAATGAAAATAAAATATTTTGATCAATTAAATATTTAAGTGAAATGAGAATAATGAGATATTTGATACTATTTATTTATTTATATATATTATTTAATATTGTAAGTCCAAAAGTCAAATATTTTTTCATCAACAAAAAATCAATGTTTACAATGATTTAGAACAACGAAAAACGCGTTTTTAATAAAAATATATTTACACTTTTTTTGAAAATTCACCTGGGATGTTTCATGATAATAATTATGAAGCATATAGTTAATTATATTTTATAAATTGCATTTAATTGGAAAATATGATTTAATATCTTAATTTTAACTAAATGATGTTAAGCACTTTTCTGAGTTAGATCTTTTACAAATTTAAATGACATTAAGAAGTTAACATTCGTTTTCACGTAGCGTGCGTAGCGTAGTTTGTAAAGCGTTAGACTCATAATCCGCAGGTCGTAGGTTCGATTCCCCCTATGCGTTAGATTTATCTATTTCTCTGGTTTGCGTTTTATAATTAATTCTATATAAGAATTAATTTAAAAATGAAAATATGTGATCATAGTATGCAGAAATTACATATTTTTTAATTTATTTATTTGAATAAGATTTTAATTTAGAAATGGAAGAATTAGTAAATAAATATGTCATTTATTCAATTCAAATTTTGATTTATTTGAATCAAAAAATTCTTACATTTTATGCAAATAAATTATGTATTTGGATCAAATAAAATAATAATTGTCGCAATTAAAGAAGTTTTAGTTTCAATTAAAACAATTACTTATAACAAATTATCGAATATTTGATTCAAGAAAATTTTTAGTTGTTTCAAGAAAAATATTTTATTAATGCAAATAAATATTTATTTGAATCAAAAAACATGCAGTATTGAATGAAATAATTTTCATAGTTGATTCAAATAATTATTTATTAGCTTTGAATATTCTATTTATTTTATTTAAATACTTTGTATTTGATTCAAATAACTATTTATTTGATACGATAAAATAAAATACTTAGATTTTATTTTAGATTTTATAAATGTGTATTTGGATCAAATACATATTTATTGGATAATAGACAAGTAAATGATGTATTTGGATCAAATACTTTTTATTTGATCCAAATAAATTTTTTTTTCAGTGTACTTACTTTTATGTATTTTGATGCGCTGATTCATTATAGTTCAATCATAGTGACAATACCCGAAAATTTGATTTTTATGGTGAAAACCATAAAAAACCTCAAAATTTATGGTTTTTTTCGTTTATTGGGTAAAATATGCAAAATTAAAAAAATGCGAAAGATATAAAGAATGTATTTTAGTAAGGTCTACAACTTTTATTTTATGCATTATTTTTAATTTTGCATATTTTACCCAATAAATGAAAATAACCATAAAGTTTAGGACTTTTTTATGGTTTTCATCATAAAAATCAAATTTCCGGGTATTGTTACTATGATTTTCGTAATCGGCGCATCAAAATACATAAAAGTGGGTAGTATAGAAAGAATATATTTTTAAAAATTCAAAAAATTTTGAAAAATTACAAAAATATTGTAAAAATTGTTTGCCGATTATCGAACTAGGCTGAAAAGTTTCGTAAAAAGAAGTATTTTTAAAAATTTTGAAAAAATTGATCAGTACGTCAATTGAGAAAAATGACTTTAACATTAAAAGTCCAAAATTTGCTAGTAATATCGTTTAAAAAAAATTCAATTTCCTTTGAAAAGTACGTTTAAAAACACACATTTTGAAAAAAGACTTTAAAAATTGATGCATCTTTAAGAGACTTATAAGCATTCAAAAATTAAAAGTCATGAAAATTCTCCAATTTTCAGAATTCCATAACTCAAAAACGGATAGCTACAAAAATTTGAAAAAATCATGGAAGATAGTCTTAAAGAGAAATTAAAAGAAAAAAATTCGGAGTTGCAATTGCAGATGGACTTTCACTTTAGCGTAGAATAGATCATAGATATTATATGGTCTTACAATTCGATCGCCGACAACAGCAGCCCAAACATTCAAAGAGAATCTCCTCTGGAATCTTCTACAAAAAACAAGGTGTGGATTTTCTTCAGCATAATAGTGATTATTATGATAATTGAAGTTTTCTCCACACCTGCCAAACGTAGCTTCATCCATAAATAAAATTCTTTCAACAAATCCACGTTGCTGTTGTTGTTGTTGATTAAGCCAATTGGCGAATTGGATTCGTCTCGCTGGATCTTCTGCATGCAAATCTTGGACTTGTTGAAAGTGGAAGCCATGCACTCTGTTAAAAACACAATTATTACATAGTAAACATAATAATAATACTGAGAATGGTAATTATGTTTTTTGAGTTTTAATATTGTAGTTAACCCTTTCAGTCCCATAATTAGGACACTTGATAAATAGCTGCAATAAGTACTGCACCTATGGTTTTCAGAGTCGCTGATTACGAATCTAAAGTCAGTTATTCAAAATTCAAAATGGCGGATCCAATTTGGCGGACGACTTTAATAAATAATTGTCGTCCGCCATATTAGATCCACCATTTTGAATTTTTTAAAACGGACATTCTGAATTTAAAAAAACTAACTCCAGATATGTAATTTGAGACCCCAAAAACCCCTGAGTAACGATTTTCAAATTGATTGGAATAATTTTTAGAATTGTCGTCCGCCATATTTTATCCGCCATTTTGAATTTTTTTAAACTGATTTTAGATTCGAAATCAGCGACCTTAAAAATCCCCTAGTAACAATTTTTAAGAAAATTTGTTTAATTTTTAATTTGATCGTCCGCCATATTGGATCTGCCATTTTGAATTTTTTAAAACTGACTTTAGATTCGTAATCAGCGAC